GCTTTTGCTGCATCCCGTAGGTTTGGGTCGTCGTGTCTCCATTGTCATTTGTTTCTAGGTATTTTTTGATTTCCTCTTTGATTTCTTCACTGATCACTTCGTTATTTTATATTTTATTTTTTATTTTTTGTGTTATGTGGGCCTCTCGTTGTGGTCTCTCCTGTTGCGGAGCACAGGCTCCAGACGCGCAGGCTCAGCCGCCGTGGCTCACAGACCCAGCCAGTCCGCGGCATGTGGGATCTTCCTGGACCTGGGCACGAACCCATGTCCCCTGCCTCGGCAGGCGGACTCTCAACCACTCCGCCACCAGGGAAGCCCCACTTCGTTATTAAGTAGTGTATTGTTTAGCCTCCATGTGTTTGTATTTTTTACAGACCTTTTCCTGTAATTGATACCTAGTCTCATAGCGTTGTGGTCGGAAAAGATACTTGATACAATTTCAGTTTTCTTAAATTTACCAAGGCTTGATTTGTGACCCAAGATATGATGTATCCTGGAGAATGGTCCATGAGCACTTAAGAAAAATTTGTATTCTGTTGTTTTTGGATGGAATGTCCTATAAATTTCAATTAAGTGCATCTTGTGTAATGTATCATTTAAAGCTTGTTTTTCCTTATTTTCATTTTGGATGATCTGTCCATTGGTGAAAGTGGGGTGTTAAAGTCCCCTACTATGAATGTGTTACTGTCGATTTCCCCTTTTATGGCTGTTAGTATTTGCCTTATGTATTGAGGTGCTCCTATGTTGGGGGCATAAATATTTACAATTGTTATATCTTCTTCTTGGATCGATCCCTTAATCATTATGTAGTGTCCTTCTTTGTCTCTTCTGATAGTCCTTATTTTAAAGTCTATTTTGTCTGATATGAGAATTGCTACTCCAGCTTTCTTTTGGTTTCCATTTGCATGGAATATCTTTTTCCATCCCCTTACTTTCAGTCTGTATGTGTTTCTAGGTCTGAAGTGGGTCTCTTGTAGGCAGCATATATATGGGTCTTGTTTTTGTATCCATTCAGCCAGTCTGTGTCTTTTGGTGGGAGCATTTAATCCATTTACATTTAAGGTAATTATCCATATGTATGTTCCTATTTTCTTAATTGTTTTGTGTTTGTTATTTTAGGTCTTTTCCTTCTCTTGTGTTTCTTGCCTAGAGAAGATCCTTTAGCATTTGTTGTAAAGCTGGTTTGGTGGTGCTGCTCTCTCTCAGCTTTTGCTTGTCTGTAAAGGTTTTAATTTCTCCATCAAATCTGAATGAGATCCTTGCTGGGTAGAGTAATCTTGGTTGTAGGTTTTTCCCTTTCCCCATTTTAAATATGTCCTGCCACTCCCTTCTGGCTTGCAGAGTTTCTCCTGAAAGATCAGCTGTTAACCTTATGGGGATTCCCTTGTGTGTTATTTGTTTTTCCCTTGCTGCTTTTAATATGTTTTCTTTGTATTTAATTTTTGACAGTTTGATTAATATGTGTCTTGGTGTGTTTCTTCTTGGATTTATCCTGTATGGGACTCTCTGTGCTTCCTGGACTTCATTAACTATTTCCTTTCCCATATTAGGGAAGTTTTCAACTATAATCTCTTCAAATATTTTCTCAGTCCCTTTCTTTTTCACTTCTTCTTCTGGAACCCCTATAATTCGAATGTTGGTGCATTTAATGTTGTCCCAGAGGTCTCTGAGACTGTCCTCAATTCTTTTTATTCCTTTTTCTTTATTCTGCTCTGCAGTAGTTATTTCACTATTTTATCTTCCAGGTCACTTACCTGTTCTTCTGCCTCAGTTATTCTGCTATTGATACCATCTAGAGTATATTTTATTTCATTTATTGTGTTCTTCATCGTTGGCCTGTTTCATCTTTATTTCTTCTAGGTCCTTGTTAACTGCTTCTTGCATTTTGTCCATTCTATTTCCAAGATTTTGGATCATCTTTACTATCATTATTCTGAACTCTTTTTCAGGTAGACTGCCTATTTCCTCTTCATTTGTTAGGTCTGGTGGGTTTTTATCTTGCTCCTTCATCTGCTGTGTGTTTTTCTGTCTTCTCATTTTGCTTATCTTACTGTGATTGGGTTCACCTTTTTGCAGGCTGCAAGTTCGTAGCTCCCGTTGTTTTTGATGTCTGTCTCCAGTGGCTAAGGTTGGTTCAGTGGGTTGTGTAGGCTTCCTGGTGGAGGGGACTAGTGCCTGTGTTCTGGTGGATGAGGCTGGATCTTGTCTTTCTGGTGGGCAGGTCCACGTCTGGTGGTGTGTTTTGGGGTGTCTGTGGACTTATTATGATTTTAGGCAGCCTCTCTGCTAATGGGTGGGGTTGTGTTCCTATCTTGCTAGTTGTTTGGCATAGGTTGTCCAGCACTGTAGCTTGCTGGTCGTTGAGTGAAGCTCGGTGTTGGTGTTGAGATGGAGATCTCTGGGAGATTTTCGCCATTTGATATTACGTGGACCTGGGAGGTCTCTTGTGGACCAGTGTCCTGAAGTTGGCTCTCCCACCTCAGAGGCACAGCACTGACTCCTGGCTGCAGCACCAAGAGCCTTTCATCCACACGGCTCAGAATAAAAGGAAGAAAAAGTAGAAAGAAAGAAAGAGGATAAAAGAAAATAAAGTATGGTAAAATAAAATAAAGTTATTAAAATAAAAAAAAATTATTAGGAAAAAAATTTAAAAAACAAAAAATGGATGGATAGAACCCTAGGATAAATGGGGAAAACAAAGCTATACAGACAAAATCTCACACAGAAGCATACACATACACACATACACGCTCACAGAAAGAGGAAAAGGGGAAAAAATAATCAATCTTGCTCTCAAAGTCCACCTCCTCAATTTGGGATGATTCGTTGTCTATTCAGGTATTCCACAGATGTAGGGTACATCAAGTTGATTGTGGAGATTTAATCCGCTGCTCCTGAGGCTGATGGGAGAGATTTCCCTTTCTCTTCTTTGTTCTCACAGCTCCTTGGGGCTCAGGTTTGGATTTGGCCCCGCCTCTTCGTGTAGGTCGCTGGAGGGCGTCTGTTCTTCGCTCAGACAGAACGGGGTTAAAGGATCCGTTGATTTGGGGGCTCTGGCTCACTCAGGCCGGGGGTAGGGAGGGGTACGAAATGCGGGGCGAGCCTGCGGCGGCAGAGGCTGACATGACGTGTGACGTCATGTCACACGTGTGACGTTGCACCAGCCTGAGGCGCGCCGTGAGTTCTCCTGGGGGAGTTGTCCCTGGATCCCGGGACCCTGGCAGTGGTGGGCTGCACAGGCTCCCAGGAGGGGAGGTGTGGAGAGTGACCTGTGCTCGCACACAGGCTTCTTGGTGGCGGCGGCAGCAGCCTTAGCGTCTCATGGCCGTCCCTGGGGTCCGCGCTTTTAGCCGCGGCTCGCGCCCGTCTCTGGAGCTCCTTTAAGCAGCGCTCTAAATCCCCTCTCCTCGCGCACCAGGAAGCAAAGAGGGAAGAAAAAGTCTCTTGCCTTTTCGGCAGGTCCAGACTTTTTCCCGGACTCCCTCCCGGCTAGCCGTGGCGCACTAACCCCCTGCAGGCTGTGTTCACGCTGCCAGTCCTCTCCCTGCGCTCTGATGGAAGCCAGAGCCTCAGCTCCCAGCCCCGCCCGCCCCGGCGGGTGAGCACACACGCCTCTCGGGCGGGTGAGCACACGAGCCTCTCGGGCTGGTGAGTGCCGGTCGGCGCCGATCCTCTGTGCGGGAATCTCTCCGCTTTGCCCTCCGCACCCCTGTTGCTGCGCTCTCCTCCGCGGCTCCGAAGCTCCCCCCTCCGCCACCCGCAGTCTCCGTTGGGCAGAGTTTCTAAACGAGCTTCCCTGGTATATATTTAACATGTACTGTCACAACACATTGCTGGGGGAATTAAGCACATCCTGTGTGACTCTGCAGGGAGAGGACTCTTGAAAGTTTCCTCTGGACTTAACCCAATATGCCTGTTCCTTTTGCTATTTTACTTTGTTTTTTTGTTGCTGTAATAAATCATAGGACTATATGCTGAGTTTTGTGAGTCTTCCTAGTGAATCATTAAATCCGGAAGTGGTCTTGGGAACCCCCAACACAACTATTTAAGCTGGAATGTATAGGTCTAGGCAAGAAACGATGGAAGCCTGGTCTGAGGTGTTGGAACTGACTTGAATGATATTTTTAAAACATTGATAGGATTTGTGATTGTTTTAATGTAGGGAGAAAGAGACAGGAAAGTATCAAGGATGTCTACAAGTTTCTGAATTTAGCAACTGATTAAGTGGTGGTAACTATTTACTAGGGGAGTAGCATAATATAATAGAAGGGATAACTGAATGATCTGTGTGGATTCAAGTTCAGACGTGGGTGCTTATTAGCTTTGTTGTCACATGCACATCTTTTGAAGCTCAATTGTCCAACTGAGACTGTTAACGAGGATTGAAAGGAGACATTTGAAGAAATTTTCTAAGTTATTAGCTGTATATAAACGTTAATTATGGTGAGTAAGCTACCATTTATTAAGTACCTAATATGTGCAAGGCATTTTAAGTATTGTTACTACTGTTTTTGCACTGTTATAGTTTTCATTGAGTTTTAAAATTCAATTAGAGTACTTAAAATATTGGGATTTTTTTTTTTTTTACTTTAGAAGTTCTATGTTGTATTGTATTATTTTTTATAAGATATATATCAAATTAGAAGCAGATAAAGTGTTGGTTTTAAACACTCAGACTCCCAGACATTGTTATTAAGCACATGATACCCAGTAAGGGGATTTGCCAAGGGTACACAGTTATTCTGAGGTTGCAACAGAGCACACTTCTCATTCTGCTAAAAGCCTCTTCTTGGCATATTGTGTAGATGAATAAAGGGAATTTGATTTCATAATTTCAGATCTGTTGGATAGAAAATATAAATATCACATTGTTATTTTATTACTTAAGTGTTGAACAAAAACCAGTTACACATGCAAGGAAAGTCATGTATTTGTGAAATTATCTTGAGTACAAAATTTCTAGATTCCAAAGAAATAATGATCTTCTCTTTCTCTTGTAGACCATTTCACCTGCATTGTGAAGGTGCTTTTTACCCTATTGTACACGCAAGGTCTTGTGGCACTTTCAGTTAAATGCAATGAGGAAGATAGGTCAGCCTGGAAACACACGGGAGCTCTCAAAAAGGTTAGTGTCTTGTCTGAATTTGTTATTTAGTAGTTAGGTGAATTTATTTAAGTTGGTGATATGAATGAATGAGATTAGATGTTTGAAAGGCAAAACGAGTTATTTTTAATAATTTTCAAAATAGATTTATTTATTTTTGGTTGCGTTGGGTCTTCGTTGCGGCGAGTGGGGGCTACTCTTCATTGCGGTGTGTGAGCTTCTCACTGTAGTGGCTTCTCGTTGTGGAGCACGGGCTCTAGGTGAGCAGGCTTCAGTAGTTGTGGCTCATGGGCTCAGTAGTTGTGGCGCACGGGCTTAGTTGCTCTGCGGCATGTGGGATCTTCCCGGACCTGCTCGAACCTGTGTCCCCTACATGGGCAGGCAGATTCGTAGCCACTGCACCACCAGGGAAGTCCACAAAATGAGTTATTAACAGTATTTTAATTGGAAATGGAGCACCTTCAGGCTATAAAAGTTAAACATGTTTTCCTTGCACAATGAGGTCTTCTGTATCTATCTCTAAACGTTGACCTTTTCCCCTTTGTATCTGGACAGTTTTGTTTTTGCTGCAAGCCTTAAACTTAAAGAAGTTATAAAAATTGTATCAACACAGTTAGCAAGTAATAAAATGTATGTAAGACTTACCTGTTTTACTTATCTGTCATCTTCTCCTTGCCTCATCCCCAATCACAATCCAAATATCGCTTTTGACTCACCACTTCTAGATTTAAAAATCCTGGCCTTTTCTTAGTTATACCTCTTTAAAAACTACTTTTCCCCCATGTTTAAAAATATATAGATATATAAGTTCTTAGTAAATTTAAAGGCATTCTCTTTCAGTTAAAATTATACGAACAATTTAGAAAAATTGTGCAAGTTTAGTTAAATGTAAGTATTTTCAGTGGCTTGAAAACAAATGGGATACTATGGAACCAAAGTATCCTATGTATACCAAAGTATACTTTGGAACCAACTGTATACTATGAAACCAACTGAGTGAATAGTTTGGCGTAGAGGTAGGTGAAATAAGAAGATTACTTTCCTGTTTATTTGGGGAAGTTGGTAGGAAAAAATAATAAGTATAGTGTAAATTGAACCTTTTCTTTGGTTTATAGACTCTTAAAGAAGTTTTAAACCTCATTGAAAAGTTTCTGTTAAAATCATATCTACTTGTATTAAAGGAGAGAAAACCAATTATAGATATTGATACATGAAATGTATTCAATATAACCTTCACTTTTTTCACTAGTTTAGTCCCAAATCATGATTATGTGTACAGAAATTTAATGTAGTATCATTATGAAGTTTGTTATATCTTAATTTAGGGATACTGGTTGTTGGCCATTGAACCTGAGTGCTAGGCCAAGTTCCTGCCACTAAATAAAGATATTACTTTTTTGTTCAAGACATAAAAACTCTCTGAACCTCAGCCTTGTCATAGGTAAATGAGAAATTAAGAACATATGATTTATAAGGGCCCCTCTATTTCTAAAATTCTGTTATTTGAAATAACAAAATGAATTTCTGTCTTTTCCTTCAGTGATTTTTTTCCTCCTTGTTTCTAGTTGTTTTGTGGATAATTTTGCCTTCTGCAATTATCTTTCTTTTTTCTAAATATTCTTTTAGTCTCCCTGAGTGCACTCTAATCTGATATTGAGATTGTTTGTATTCAAATCAGGTGTAACAGGTTTCTCTGCTGTGTCATTGTGTAAATGTTTCTTTAGTAAGTTGTCTAGCCATGAAAAAGTACACATTTAAAACATTTTCTGATATAGTTTGGGTCTAAATCTATTCATCTGACTGTTCACTAAAATGACACCTACTGACAGAAAATTAGACAATTGTAAATCTATGATGGAAGGAACATGAAGTAATTTAGGTAACTTCTGTCAGTTTTCTTTCTCAATTTGATCAGTTAGCTATTTTTTAAAATACTTAATAAAACATTTAATATAAGGCAGATTCTTATCAGAACATAAATTAGAAATTTATAGCCATATAAATTGCTTCAGTGAATGAAAACAAAAAATTATGATATTCTGCAGGTTGGTTTGCCACATTATTAGCTTTTTCTGCCATAAATCTAAACATTTAGGTATATAGGATTGTAAATAATAATATTTATGGGGGCTTCCCTGGTGGCGCAGTGGTTGAGAGTCCGCCTGCTGATGCAGGGGACACGGGTTCGTGCCCTGGTCCGGGAAGATCCCACATGCCGCGGAGCGGCTGGGCCCGTGAGCCATGGCCGCTGAGCCTGCACGTCCGGAGCCTGTGCTCCGCCACGGGAGAGGCAACAGTGAGAGGCCCGCGGACCGCAAAGAAGAAAAAAGAAAAAGATATTTATGAATAATGAAATATCACTGTGATTTCTGTATCATTCATTCCTCCTTTAAAAAATTTCCTTCTTCCTTTAGTTCTTCCCTCCTCTCACTCCCTTCCTTGTTTTCTTTCTTCATTGAGTCTCATTCATTTCATCCTTATCCTCAGGTATGATAATTCCAATGAAAACAGATCTAATCTGGTAAAATAAAATACATAGGTAGTGTGTATTTTTCAAAGGGATTTTAGAGTTAATTTGATAATGAGGTTTAGTTATTTGGAAAAATCATCATTATAGTTAGTATAAATTTTGATCTTTCGGTGAGTGGAATTTCTGTTAAGAGTTTTTATACCAGGATTTCTTAATCTGGGGTCCTTTCCCTTTGTTTCGTTTTGGGAAGTAGGACCATAGGATCCAGCATACACTCAAAGGGCCTGCCACCCCAAAAAGTTTAAGAAGCACTATAATTTTTTCTTTTTTAAAATAAATTTATTTATTTATTTTTGGCTCTGTTGGGTCTTCGTTGCTGCACGCAGGCTTTCTCTAGTTGCGGTGAGTGGGGACTACTCTTCATTGCAGTGCACGGGCTTCTCACTGCGGTGGCTTCTCTTGCTGCGGAGCACAGGCTCTAGGTGCACGGGCTTCAGTAGTTGTGGCACACGGGTTCAGTAGCTGTGGCTTGTGGGCTCTAGAGCGTAGGCTCAGTAGTTGTGGCACATGGGCTTAGCTGCTCTGCGGCATGTGGGCTCTTCCTGGACCAGGGCTCGAACCAATGTCCCCTGCATCAGCAGGTGGATTCTTAACCACTGTGCCACCAGAGAAGTCCCTAGAAGCACTATGGTTTAGACAAAGCATCTACCCAAAACAGCATCTGTTGCATCTCTCAACTCTTAATTCTTTTCTTTATTTAACTCACATACTTCTGCCACTTCTCCCACATTCTTCTTCTGATCATGATCCTGGGTCTTTCATCCATGGTCTCAGAAATCCTCTTCTTAAGCTTTATATATTTAAAAAAAAGAAAAGCTTTACTTCTTAAAGCTTATCTTAGCTTTACCAAGGAGCCTACTCTTTGCTTTATTTAAATATTGCTTATATAAAATATGGTTTTCTAAGACTTCTTATGTATGAAATAAAATTATTTTCTTATCTAATACTCTTCTAATGGGAAGAGTTCTCAATACAAAACAGTGACTACTACATTATATTTGACTTTCTGATCTGATATAGTACCTCCTTTAAGTAAAAAAAAATACTTAAAATGTATCTGATAATAATAATTTAAAAAATAATTATTGCTCAATAACTTGCTTGGGTGATCTGAGTATCATTTGTTTCTTATTGGAGGATATTTTCCCCATAATTTGGAAAGTATTATACTTGAAATACTTTTCTGTTGTTATGCTCTATAAATCTCTTACTCATAAGAGTATATTGAATTAGGCTTTTAGTCTGTCTTGTATATTTTCAAAACTTTAAATATGTCACATTGATTAATAAGCAGCAAAATTGTGGTAATATTTTCTTTTGAATTGCCTATTCAAGAACTACTCTGATTAAATCAATTCTAAAAACATAACATGTTGCTGTTTTGATATTCAGTGGGATATTGATTCTTGTAAATTATATGTAACCTGCAGGTCATCATATTTGGCAAGTGATCATCCTGTTGATTAATTAGGCAGGGGTGGGGTGGGTCACATGATACAAGGATAGCAGTTGCTGAGTCAGGGACTTTTTATAGTTTATTCAGGACATGATAACACTACATGGCTACATGATATGGCAGAAAGCAGAGGAGTAATTTAAAAATAATGCAAAGAATTGATTATTAAAAGAGAGACATCCAGGCAAGTTCCAAGGTCAAAAACTCCATTACCAAAATAAATTCCATCAATTAACCACCAGGTATTATTGCTCAGAGTTTTGTTATGCAAAGGGAGACATAGAAGATATAAAGCATAGTTCCTGACATTTTGGAATTTACAGTCTAGTTGAAGAGAGCACAGTAACATGTGAGAAAGAAAGACAGTATCATCAAACAACAAATTCTGTGGTCCTGACTATTAGTGCCTTAAAAATTCAGGATAAACTTATATCCCATAGTGTTTACTCAGTTCTTATATTTTACTATTTAAAAAATATAGTTAGGGACTTCCCTGGTGGTGCAGTGGTTAAGAATCCTCCTGCCAGTGCAGGGAAAACGAGTTTGAGCCCTGGTCTGGGGAGATCCCACATGCCGCGGAGCAACTAAGCCCGTGCGCCACAACTACTGAGCCTGTGCTCTAGAGCCCGCGAGCCACAACTACTGAGCCCGCAAGCCACAACTACTGAAGCCCACGCACCTAGAGCCCATGCTCTGCAACAAGAGAAGCCACCGTGATGAGAAGCCCACACACCACAACGAAGAGTAGCCCCCACTTGCTGCAACTAGAGAAAGCCTGCGCGCAGCAACGAAGACCCAATGCAGCCATAAATAAATAAATAAACGAATGAATAAATAATAAAAGATAATATAAAAAATTTAAAAATTAAAAACATAGTTAATGAATAAACATCACAGCAGATTTATTACTTTAAGATTATACTTGCCTGTAATTTGCAACAACTTTTAATGTCTCAGTGAATATAAAAAGTGTATTTCTTTATGTGCAAAAACCTTATTGAAATAAATTTAAATTTATAAATAGCCATTTTTTTCCTTTCTTATAAAAAGTATAGTCATTAAGCTTAATTAATTTGTAGATTGTTATTTAATGTTATCTGTAATTCTGTAATAAACATATGGTCCTATTTATTTATTTATCTTATTTTTTGCGGTACGCGGGCCTCTCACTGTTGTGACCTCTCCCATTGCGGAGCACAGGCTCCAGACGTGCAGGCTCAGTGGCCATGACTCACGGGCCTAGCCACTCCGCAGCCTGTGGGATCTTCCCAGACCAGGGCACGAACCCGTGTCCCCTGCATTGGCAGGCGGACTCTCAACCACTGCGTCACCATGGAAGCCCGGTCCTATTTATTTTTACATTAAGTTGTTTTAACAAATTCTATTCAAGGAATTTGAGTAAAACTATAAACGAAAAACATTTGGGGTCCATGTTATATTTCATGCATGTATGATTTTATCACTGTAACGAGTATATATATACTTCTATTAGTTTTTTGCACACCACTCTATAAACATTTTTTTCTGTAGCTCAAATTTGTCATATTTACTGCCTATAAAATATTCTGATATTGCATAATTTAGGTAACTGCTTCACCTTTTTTAAAAAAATAAATCTATTTATGTATTTATTTTTGGCTGCGTTGGGTCTTCGTTGCTGTGCGTGGGCTCTCTGTAGTTGCAGTGAGCGGGGGCTACTCTTTGTTGTGGTGAGCGGGCTTCTCATCGCAGTGGCTCCTCTTATTGCGGAGCACGGCCTCTAGGCTCGTGGGCTTCAGTAGTTGTGGCTTGTGGGCTCTAGAGCGCAGGCTCAGTAGTTGTGGTGCATGGGCTTAGTTGCTCCACAGCATGTGGGATCTTCCCAGAGCAGGGCTTAAGCCCATGTCCCCTGCATTGGCAGGTGGATTCTTAACCAGACAAGTCCAATAATTGCTTCACTTCTTTTGGTCATTTCTAATTTTTCACTATTATAATGCTTCATTGAATGTCATGGGCATAAAGTTCTTCTCTTCTCTTTAGATTATTTCCTTAGGAAGAATTTCCAGGAGTGAGAATTTCTGGGACAAAAGATATGATATAGATATGTTCATTTACACATGTATTATGTAACTTATATGCTGTCTTTTAAAGAAGTATTGGAATAGCTTTCATCACCTATCCAAATTCATAGTGAATCCAGAGGTGTACTGTTGTACACAGATTTTGGGAAAGTGAAGTTTACATGCTTGAAAAGTAATGTAATCATGATTATACTCTACTCATTAAAAGGTATTCTTTCCAATGTAAATGGTTTTGTAATTTTCAGTGACTAATGGAATTAATTTTTTCCAGAATACATGTGATGCAGAGAAGTCTTATGAAGTCTTATTGAGCTTTGTGATAAGGGAACTATCTAAAGGAAAGTTATACCATGAAGAAGGAACGCAGGAGTGTGCAACGGTATGTTCTCTATGACCAGATGTAGTGGTTATTTAAAAATTTAGATTTTCTTGCCATTATGAATATTACTGTTTGTTATGTCTATTATAGAACGAATTGTTCTGACTTTCTTTTTTAACTTTAGATTAGCCCTATTGCTTGGTCTCCTGAATCCACGGAAAAATACTTACAGGACTTCTGCTTACATTTCCTCAGAATCACCAGCCTTCTTCAGCACCACCTTTTTGGGGAAGATTTACCTAGCTGCCAGGTATAATTTGTGGTAGAGAGTAGGGAGCCTTTTTTTTTTTTAAACAATTATCTAATTTTAAAAAATATACTGACATATAATACTTACATCTATTATATATCCAGAACTGTCATACAGGTATATGTCAGTCTAACTCAAAGGAATAAATATTTAGAATATTTACTATTATTGTTACTTATGTATTTGTTAGCATCTACCCATTTTTATGGTAATATTACTAATATTTGACATTCGAGGAGTTTCTGATTAGATCTGTGGTAATAAACACCCAGTACTTGAACAGAAGATAGTATTCATATTAATATATTTATCACTAATCGTCATTGGCTTTTAATATCCTTTTTAAAGGGTGTCATGTTATGTTGGCCAGCAAGCTGGTTGTTTGAATATCTGATGGCATTTATGTAATTTTAGAATTGCAAGATATTCAATTTGTAGCCAATTAAAACTTGGATGAATGAATTATCACTGGTTTAATCTATTTTGTAAAACTGTGGGTCAGTGTGAGTAGGCAAGAAAGTGACAGAGTAGGAAACCAGAAGGTAAGTAAACCAAACTGTGTTTATAGGATTATGTCCCTGACATTATCTGCCATTCATTTCCAGGGAATTTGATGTGAGAGTTAAGTCACTTATATTTATGGTCTTTGAAGCCTGCATGTGGTATATCAGAATTAAGCTGTTGATTGTTCCTTCTCTCTTAAATAATTGACCATTGCATTAAATAGTTTGGATTCCTTGGTTTTTATCAAGTGATTCAAGATAAACTCTGCACATTTGTCCCCAAAACATTCTATTTAGAGTTCTAAGATATTGAACAAATTAAAAATATTCATCCATTAGGTATTTTCTTTCATAGTTATTTATTTTTAAATTTGAACTTAAAAGCATGTTTCCTTCTGGCATGTGAAGCATAGAGAAGGTTAATCAAACAAAATCTACTACTTCATCAGCTTTGCTTTCTTCACATTTAAAAACCAAAGGCTGTGGTTCTTTGTGTTCTTGTTACCTTTGTGTTCTTGTATTCTTGGTTTATTTTGTCATTTGTTTTTACTGGAGGGTATTTTTCTCCCATAAACTGAGAAGTACCTGGAAGCAGAAGCTCTTGTATTGAGCACTGAAAATTAATCGGGGGCTTGGGTGTACAGCGATGCCTATAGTAGAGCACTGGGAATATACTTAGACCAAGGAAGAAATTTATCTATTAGGAGGCATGAAAAGGAATGGTGTGACATAGTGTCAGAAAGACAGGTTAAGGGGAAATTGTGGTGGATCTTGAATTTCACATGAAAGGAATTTGGACCACTGAAAGGTTTTTGGACAAAAATGTGACGTGATTCAAATTTTATTTCAGCATGAAACCTCATTCCAATATAAGACATTTTGTGAGCTGTGAGGATTGGAGGAACTAGGAATGGTAAAGCCAGTTGGGAAAGGAAATATTAGAAATAGAAGAGGATAGGAAGCAATTAAAGATTTCAGAGATGAAATAGTAAGGATTTGACAGCTAGTTGAACATGTAGGAGTCAAGGGAGAAGAAGGAAGCATACTGTACTTGGTTTTTGAGCCTGGGAGATTTGAGCCGTTATGGTACAGTTGATGGAGGAAGAATATGGAGCAGTTTTGTGTGGGCCGAGATGAAAGTATTTTGCATATATTCAATTTGAGGGGTTGGTTGGATTATTTGAGTTAAGTGGATATATTCACCTGAAGTGAGAAAAGTAAGATTACAACTTTAGATAGAAATTTGCTCTTTCTGTTTAGAGTTCTGTCATCTGTGTAATCTTTTTTTGCTTTTAAGTATATATGTAATACATAAAAATGTATGTAATTATAGAAATACATGAATATATAATATAGAAATATAACTATACAGTTAGATATTTGCTTGCTCTTCTACTTTATTCACTTTGGCTTTTTTGTTTCTATTAATCATGATAGTATGCTATAGATGGGTATAATATTATGCCTACTTTTAACTTTTGTGGATTTGACATGTTTTTCTTTATGTCACTTTCTTTCATTTGGAGTATTTTGTTTCACCCATTCATATCTCATACGTTTATCCAAAAACTTTTATTAAAATTTATTCTTTTGCTCCCTTTGATTCTAATTGCAAATCTACTCACTCAGCAGTTTTCTCTTAATGTTTTCTTCTTTATTTCTTGAAGTTAACTCAGGAATCATTCATTCATAGCCCTTTGTTTCATTTGGGGGAGAAAGGACTAAACATTTATTTGTTCAAAGGTATTTACAAAGCAGTTTATAATGGCTGGCTGTTTCTTAACTAGCTTATAAACTAGGTTTTCACTTTACAGTGAGGAAACTGAAGGATGAAGACACATCTAAGCTAGTAGGTCAGTTAGAGGTAGAATTTACCACATTCATCTGATAGTATATATATTTTTCCCCTTGTTCACTTCTTTAACTGAAATTATCTTTTCAATTTTGAGAGGAAAGATGGAGGTGCATATGCACGGAATTCAGTTGATCACACTCCTCAGCTTTGGCATACTAAGTATTAGTGCCTCTAATATTATTCTCCCTTTGTTCCCCACATGATAGCTTATCCCTTACTTCTCAGAAGTAATGTGTATGTCAATATAAACTGCATATAGTGTTATTTTGTGTTTGTTTAACTTGTATAACTGGTGTTGTGCTATAAATCTTGTATCTTTCTTACTTTCTTCGTGCTAAATATTATATCATTTAGACCTAATCATGTAGCTCGAGATAATTCTTTCTTATTTCTTCATAGTGGTATTCCAATATATGTGTATTCCACATTTTACTTACTCCTCATTGGTGAACATCTAGGCTGCCTTCAAATCTTTGCTACCATGAAAAAAAATAAACTGCTGCAATGAACCTAATGTTTTGTATACTTTTAAACTTTCTCTGGATTCTATACCTAGCTAGCTATGGGATTGCCTATGTATGTATGGGATACATTCTGCCTCCTTGCCTTCTAACATGGCTGCTCAAGGTTCACATTCCCATTTGCATTGTGTGAGCGTTCTTGTTTTCTACCCTATACTTGCTAGCACTTTTATTATCCAGTGTTCTAATATTTGCCAGTCAGATGGGGGTAAAGTATATGCTTATGGTTAATTTACTTTGCATTTCTCTAATATAAATGCAATTGATCATCAGTCCATGTACTTTTTAGGCATTTAAGTTTTCCTCTGTATATTTCCTATTCCTATTCTTTGAGCATTTAAAAAAATTGGGGTTTCTGTCACTATCTTGCTATTGCTTTGTCAGTTTTGCAGATATCTTTTTTTTTTTTTTTTTGCAGTATGCAGGCCTCTCACTGCTGTGGCCTCTCCCGTTGCGGGGCACAGGCTCCGGACGCGCAGGCTCCGTGGCCATGGCTCACGGGCCCAGCCGCTCAGCGGCATGTGGGATCTTCCCGGACCGGGGCACGAACCTGTGTCCCGAACCCGTGTCCCCTGCATCGGCAGGCGGACTCTCAACCACTGCGCCACCAGGGAAGCCCTGCAGATATCTTTTAACAGACTTTGTATTGCCCTTTGTGGAACAGAAATATTTAATTTTAATGTTGTCAGAGCTATCACTTTTTTATTTATAACTTATGCTTTTGGAATCTTATTTTTAAAATCCTTCTCCAGTCTGAGATTATAAAGTTATTTTATATTTTCTTCTCTTATTTTTATAGTTTTGTCTTTACATTTATATTTTTCATTTAATCTGGTTTATTTTGTAGTAAAGTATGAAGTAAAGATCTAATTTTTTCTCCATTTGATGAGGCAGTTTTCCTAAGACTATTTACAAAATGATCTATTTATAAAATAACCTGACTTTTTCATACTAATTTCTTATGCTAACATGTTTCTATATTTCTGGGTTCTTTGTTGTATACTACTGACCTATTTGTTCCTATACTAGTAGCACACTCTTACCAATGGTTTTATTGTAGACATTATATCTGGCAGGGTGAGTTTCACTTTTTTTTTCCTTCTAATATCTTTTTGCCAAATGCTTTTTTCTAAAATTTTTTGCTGGTTAGCTATATATGCACCTTTATTCTTATATATAAATGTTATATCAATTCGTAACTATCTTTCCAAACTCCTACAAGCTGTTAGATGAGAACCTCTTTGAATTATCGTTTTAAGGCATTGAACATAGTTTTTATGTCCATTTATTCAGGTCTTCTTTTAATATTTTCATAGAATTTTAAAATTGTCATCTTAAAGTCTGGTATTTTTTATAAAGCTAATCTAGAGGCTTTATGGTTTTAGTTTCTATTTAAATGATATCTTGTTTTCTGTAACATTCTCTGATTACTCCTTGCTGGTATAAAATAATACTATTGATTTTTGTATGTTCTTATGACTGGGCACTTGCTGAACTATCTATTAATTCTAGTAGTTTGCCTGTTGATTCTTTTAGGTATTCTGTGTATCATATCATCTTAAAATAATGACAGTATCATCCCTTCCTTTCAAATCTTTATTTCTCTATTGTTGTCTTAATGCATGTCCAGTACTATTTTGAGCAGTGAAAGTAATAGGCAGTATCCTTTTTTGTGCCCTACCCCAAAGAGAATGCTTTTAAAGTTTCCTGTGTATGTCTGTTTGTTTTATTGTAAATGGAATCATTTAAAATTACATTTTCCAATATGTTGCTAAAATGGAGAAATCCAGTTGGAATTTTTGAACGTTAATCTTCTGTATTTAGCCACCTTGCTAATGAATTCAGTGATTATTTCTAATAGCTAGGACGCTCTTGAGTTTAATAATACACTTTTTTTTTTTGATGTTGGGGGTAGGAGTTTATTAATTAATTAATTTATTTTTGCTGTGTTGGGTCTTCGTTTCTGTGTGAGGGCTTTCTCTAGTTGTGGCAAGTGGGGGCCACTCTTCATCGCAGTGCGCGGGCTTCTCACTATCGCAGCCTCTCTTGTTGCGGAGCACAGGCTCCAGACGCGCAGGCTCAGTAGTTGTGGCTCACGGGCCTAGTTGCTCCGCGGCATGT